TTGTAATATTTTTTTCAGGTTCATTTGGAAATGGCCAAATACCATGAGTTGGGGAGGTTTTCGGCAGATGGTGAAGAAGAATACGATCATGATGCGGCATTGTTTCACATGCAGCATGCTGCAGATTGTGGCACTGTGGAAGCTGTTATAACCATGGCTCATATCTATTTACAACTTCAGCACGATTTGTTGATAGACATCTCTGTGCCTGTAAGTATATTTTGCTCATGTGCAGATAGAAGTTTTGCTGCATGTCGGATTAATATGTTGAATAAAATTAGAGAAAAGTGCTGGATTATTGCTACCGTACATATTAATCTGTCACTAAAGTATCACTAGTAGAAACAGAGATCTGTATTGGACTTGTGAGTAAAAATCATAATATATATATAATCTGTGGGGGGTAAGTAGTGGAACATATTATCATATGTTTTGTGAACATATTAATGTAGAATCACTGTTGAAACAGATAATTCATCCACATATGTTAGGAACCTTTATTATAGAGGACTCCAATTGAATAAACAATGGAATATAATCTGACAACAAAGAATCACTGCTGGACATATATATATTGTTACGTCTCTGTATGTTCGTTTGTTAATTTTTCTGCGATACAAGTCCTTTCTTAAATAAAATTAGTTTATTCTTCCTCAATACAACTTTGCAATACACTTAATTTCCACAGTTACTTTAACTTAAACACACGCTATAATTCACAACAATTCACTCACTTCACTACCGCGCTTGACTTAATTGTTCGTCTCTAGTTCTGCCTGTCAGCAACTATAGTTCCAATCTCTGTATCTGGTATCCTCGGTTCCCACCGACCATAGCTGCTGTCCTTGGTTCCCCACTCTCCCTCTCTGCTTGTCTCCTTTGTCTAGCGCACTTATATATGATAATAGCGCCCGCGTAGCCTTTTCGCGAATCTTCTAGATAATCGTTACGTGTTACCGATGTCACGTGACTTCCGCTGTCGTAACAATATATATATATATTGTGACATGTCACCACATTTGTTTGGAAAGGATCACCACTGTATAAACAGTGGGATATAATATCATATTTGTTGTGAACCTGTCAATAAAGAACCTGATTTGGTTTAATATTGGAATATGGTACTATATTTGTTAGGAGCCAGCCAGTAATGAATCTCTATTTGACAACTAATAGGTTATGTATATCTTAAAGTTTAGTAACTTGTCAATAAAGGATCACCACTGGATAAATACAGGGATGTATTATCATGTTCATATGAACCTGTGGCAGTGCCAGTAAAGAATTGCTATGGGATACATATTGGAACTTGTTTTTGTTTTATTTGTTTCTCTATATTACACATAATATCACACTATATTACCAAAAGTATTTGTGTAACCCACCCACACCTAGGAATGGTGCTGGTTCTGTTTGAATGTTATGTGATTTTATGGTACACTGTTGCTTAGGATTTGAAAAAGTCAGCAGTTGCAACAACCATTAACTCTCAACATGGGGTCTGTCACTTTGACCAAGTCACCTTTGTACTTGTTTAAAGTCTTTATGAATTAATACTTATAACTCTCAATATATTGGGTATATCTTCACGAAATTTGGCAGTCTTTCAGTTGATATTACAAGTCTTTCACATACAAAAAGTCATATTTCTTAGTGAAGTATTTTTAATTGTCCATGAATATATTGAGTATTTGTTTTGAATA